TATTGAGCACTGTCTTGTAAGACGTAAGTCAAACTACTCTTTATATATATATATATATATATATATATATAATAAAGTTTGGATATAACGCGTGCTGTAATGGGTTGAAAGAGCGTGCTCTATAGAGCATAGAGCTGAGCTAAAGCTGTCACGCCATCTTGCTTGACCTTTTCCGGGACTTCTCTCTTACTTTTTTTCGTTTATTAAAAGTGTAATTTCGGAACAATCGAGCCTGCAAGTAGCAACAGAAGAACCAAACAAAGCTTTTTAAAAACGCCAGGCACCGTAATTTAAGTTATTATATCGTGAGCAGAGACGAAAATCCTAACGGAAAAAAAAAATGTACAGTCCGAGTTTAGAGGTTTTCACGCTTAGTTAGATGGCAAGCTTATGTACGGTAATAAAAATCAAACACAGCTAACACTTGTATAGTAAGTAAAGTTTCGCGATCAAAAACAAAAAAGAACAAAACAAGAATGATGAAAAATATAACCAAACTGGCATAACTGTTAAAATTCATACTAATCATTCATGGCGATCTTCGGTTCTCGCAGTGAAGCAAGCCTCAGGAAGTACATCGGCAGCCCTTCGAGTAAAGAAATAAGAGCTTGTTCTGATATCCTTTCCGATGCGTTGAGTGGAAGGCCACATCAGTAACTGCAGCCGAGTATCACGGCGCTGTCATCCCGAGCAATCTTTATGTTCCGACGAATTCGGCTGTCGTTCATTCATAAAACACTCGCCTTGAACTGTTTGTTTTCTACTTGTCATGTCAAAAAACTTGCATTGCGTGTTTTTATGAGCCACAATTCTGCCGAGTTTCACTGAACATTTCAATCAGATTATTTGAACCATTCTAACAGGGATTCTTATTGGCGTATTGTAGCGTACTTTATGAGAGTATAGAGCATGCTGACGACACTGTTGTTCGCTTTGGAAATTAAGTTTGTTTTGAAAACTGAAAGTAATGATTGGGAATTTGCTTGGGGAATTTGACGGATTCTTTATTATAAAACAAATAGAGAAGCCTTGACTGTGCTCTGTTCTGTCGTAAAGCACGCTGGAAGCGGCTAGAGCACTCGTGTTTCTCCTTACACTTCTTTCGTGCTCTAGCCGCTTCCTGCGTGCTTTACAACAGAACAGAGCACAGTCAAGGCTTCTCTATTTGTTAAATATACATATTAAATTATATATGTTGGCGTCTGTAGATTTGGATAGTTTTATCTATTTGGAAATTACCACGAGTTGATTTTTTTCTTCTTTTGAAAAACCGAGTAAAATCTTTGGCGAGGCCTTTTTTTATTCTAACTCGCTGAGAGTAATATTACTCTTCGTTTTACTTTCGTAGAAATATGAAAGTGGAGGATAAAATTGAACTTCAAAGGGTAGCAAAGGAGAGCTATTGAAGCTATTTGTTTATAAACGGTAAATTATTTCGATTTTTTAATAATACTCAAATAAAATGCTTGACGTTGACATCTTATTGCCATACGAGTCGATCACAATGCTAATTTAACACTTGAATTTGTTTTGTTTTTCGAAATCCTTAATACATACGAAATTTGAAGATGCTTTACCACCTGTGGGCAATTTGAAGGAGAGTGTATGAAACAAAGCATGACTATTAACGGATCTTACTGGGTTTAATTTTTTTGAACTGCTGTTAAATTTTGGCTTTTACAGCAAAGTTTTGTCCTTAATTGTAAAACGAAAATACTGACAGATGTTTGCGTTTGACTCGTCATGATGATTTATTCCTAAATTAAAATTCATTAACTACATAAATACGTAGCTGTGTCGCATACTAATATTTATTAACAGACTTTCGTCCATATTCTGTGACTTTAGAGGATAGACAGCAAGAATGAAATAACAAAATAACTGTTTCCATTTATTTAACGTTTTAAATGCAAGGCACAACAAAGATCTCTTGCCACAGACAAGTTCTAGTATTTGTAGCGTAAGGACCTTCGCAGTCCGCGTCTTTAAAAGGTAAATGAAAGTCTCAAAACAAATGCTTTGTATGAAGTTAGAGAGTAATAAGTTGTTTTACGAGTATAACTAGTTCTTATCTATCCATGGATTTATTTTAGACCGCAGATCTATAACTTGTTTTTATCGTGCCCAAGTATTGGAATATAACTTTCCTAATCAAAAGAGGTTCTTTGATCGCTCAAGTGAATCGCGACAAAATGAATCCAATTACCTGCCGTACACATGAAAGCTGCCTTAAAACGTTATTCCACTTTTAACCGAAAAAGAAGAGGATCACAGAGTTCAAAAGGCTTACTTTGTTTCTGATCAAAAGGGGAAAATATGATGGCGAATCTTTCGGAATAAGTTAAGAGGCCAAATGAAGAAAATTAATAACGCAGAGAAGGTTGCTCCTGTCCAACCCTTGTCACTGATTCCATTTCTAGCTAAGTCGGGCGCGAAACGGAAAGTAAAAAGCTGGAAGGCTTTGTTAATTAGAACGTTGAGCACGAATGTCTTCATATATATGATAGCATCTGCGACCAAAAATTAATTTCGTATTCTTTTATGTATTTGGAGATTGCCACGAGTATTTATTATTTTCTAAACCGACTAACCTCTCTGGCGAGGACTTTGTTTCTTTTAGATTGCTGAAGTTGATAATGAATCCTCTCAGCTTCATCGAAATTATATTAAAGCATAAATACCAATCCTGGTAATGAAAGTTAGCCAAGTTACGGGAAAGAACTTGTCGTGCTATGAAAAAAAGCCTATTACAGAACTCTCATTTTGCCAATTTATACCCGAGGTACATACAAAGTTCAAAAAGAAAACTTTTTGACTTAACAGCCGATGTTTTTGCATAGTTTAAATAACGATCTCCCTAAGATGTTTTTGTATAATCATTTCTGGCCGGCTGCTGTTATGATGAATTATGTCTCGTTGCAATCACAGGTAACCCTAATAGTCAAGGAGCCAGACCCAACAAAAGATGGTTTCGTTCAACCCACCCGACAAAGTGGGTTGATGTTAATGCCCTCACATCTCAGCATCTCCCGCCTGATAATGGAAGCTATAGTGTAGATGTCTAGGAAACTGAAAGTTTCTGACTCTAGCCTATCCATGCTGATAGAGTTTGTTTCGTCACGTAATGGACGTAGTGCTTGCTGCATTTATGATATCAATTAAGGAGATGGAGCTGCTGAAAACAATTTCCGGTCTGGATTGTTGAGGTGACTGATGGAAAACAAGACATTCCTTAAAATGAGCCATCAATCGTGCTTTCAGCTTCTGCTTTGTGTAGCTACCTGCATCAATTCCTATCTTTTCCAGCTCCTTCTTGAACATTGCCAGCAAAACATTCATGTCGTAGGCTTTCCTTCCTCAATTTCGGGGGTTATGACCTTCAGTAACTGATTGAAGGCTTGATCAAAAGTGTTTTCCTCTCTTGTGGATGTAGCGACGTTCTGTTTCCGCTTGATATTAACCTTGCTGATATAGCAGGCATGATACGCTTTCTGGTATTTTCCCTCCGCTGCAATAAGATCATAGCTAACCGACCGAAGTATAGATAACAGTTCATGGTCTCCTCTTGTCTCTGCAGATTCCTTTATACTGTTGCATGCTTCAAAGGTGGCGATGTTTATTAGCTATCGGTCCTTTTTTCTTGTTGCATTTTTGCAGAAAAGACACTTTAACCAATCAAACACCATGCGTCGCTCTTTAGATTCTTCTTGAACATCACTTGAGGATTGTACTCCATAATACCGTAAACTCTGTTTGCTAGTATATGTTTCGTAACACGATGAATGCCACAAAATATCTTTCCCGGCTACATTACGGTGATCGTCAGCTGACAAACGATGCGAGATTTCATCTTGCCGAACTTCAAGAGCAGATATGACTTTCTGTATTGAAGACAGTTTTCCAGAGCGGAGGAGGTCACTGCTACTCTGGCAAAAAATGCACTTATCGAAAGAAGTTTTCTTTGCTCTCTTTGCCGGCATGGGAAAAAGCTGCCAACCATCCTTTTCCTCCATGTCGTCTACAGCATTTGTGAGACTTAGTACCTGTGCAGATAATTTATTTCCAGACGTTTTCACTTTTAAATCGGCTTTTACAAAAAATACATCAGAATTACGTATCTGACAGAGTTTTAAAATAAAAAAGAGCTCTGTCTAAAAATCTGCTGATAACCTCAACACATTGCTAAAACATGTTTTTTTAAATGAAGATATATGATCAAGCAGGAAAGGAAAAACAAATGATAATATTACTAGCAGGTGCAGAGTCTCAGCGCATGAATTTTGAGAAAAACGAGAGCAAATAAGTCGCCGTAATACAGTTAAGATATCAAACCTTATCTATCTTGAACTCTTTGATGGCCGTTTACATCCACAGTCGGATACAAAACTCCGTTTACAAATCTGACTTACTGATTGAGTCAGGGGTTTATACAGCTGGTACTACCTCAGTTTTGATGCTTGGCAAGTCATATAACAGAGGTATTCGTGCCCACAAGTTAACCATGGAGGCGCTCTTCAGGTTGTTGTGGAAAGCCTTCCTAGACTGGCTGTCAAGACAAGCAGTTGGTATGGATGACCGAGTAAGACAAAGTGTTGCTGACCAAAGCAGGGAGTGTCGGAATACAGTGAGACAGGATTGCTTCGTTAACGATGCCTGGAAAGCATTTCAAGGTTGTGTCAATCCTCTCATGACGCTGTTTGAGCGGTTGAAATCTGAAGGCAGAGAAAAGTCCAAAGTTTTTAGTTTCTGGGAAGGATACATTAATATAGTGCTGCTGCTTCTGCAGTTCGTTAAAGCTGAACGAACCGGAAACTGGAAACTCCACCTCTCCGCCACAACTGAAATGGTTCCCCATTTTTTCTCTATGGACAGGGTCAACTATTCCAGATGGCTTCCAGTCTATCTCTCTGACATGCACATGTTGCAGTTAACTCACCCCGCAGTTCACCAAGAGTTCATTACTTGAAACCACAGTGTAAGCCGCTATAACCAACCGTTTGCGCAAGTTTGGCCGGATATGGCCCTGGAACAATCAATTAACCTTGATACAAAGACAAAGGGGGGCATAGTTGGAATGAGTACGAACGAAGATGCTGTAGACCGATGGTTCTTAACCATTCACGAGCGAGCAGCCATGACACATGCACTAAAGGAGATGTGTGGTCTAGAAAACTGCGACCGCATTGGGACACACAAGGAGGCTGAAGCCACAAGAGTGAGCAGAGATGAGAGAGACGTACAGAAGTTGTTTGAAACCTTCAAGAGTGATCTCCTCAGTGACCCTTTTCAGATTCCAGAAGAAATCTCAGAGGAGGAAATACCCTTAACCTTAAGTAATCTTGCCACTGGTGTTGTTCTTCCAGGCGCAGATGGAAGCATTCTTCTCAACGCAGAAGAGTTAGGCAGAAAAAGCATGGAAACATTTCTTTCATCGCGAATCCAGAGAAATGAAATCAATTTCTGGGATCCAATCCAGCGGCTGAAGATTAAAACATTCAGTTCTATGGCAAAGAAAGTTGCAGTGAGCAAACAGAAAGATAAGACTGTAACTGTTAATGCTGATCGTGAGCTTTTTGGTCGCCTTCTGGTTGCTGCGAGGAACAGGGATATTGATCTCAAAGAGGTTCTTTCTTATGAGCTTTGCGGTGTACCAGTCGCACTTGTACATCCTGATGGCAGCCTCAGGAAGACGACAAAAAGCACCCTAATGTATGTCCTTGAAAACAATGTTACGTGTAGATCAAGCCTGCCTTCATCACAGCACCCTACAGCATGTCTAATTGATGCGATGGCTCTCATTCAGATAATTAAATCAGTAAGGTCTGCGACATTTAGCCAGTTATCGCAGAAATACCAAGACATTGTCACTAGTAAATTCCATCAGAATAGTCACACCAGAGTAGACCTAATTTTCGACCAATATAGGCCTGTCTCAATTAAGGCACAGGGGAACGCAGCAAGAGAGGAGAATCAAGCTCGTTTGAAATCAACATCCACAGTGGATCCACGCCAGTACCGAAGCAGTGGTCAAAATATATCTCAAACCCAAAGAACAAACAAAACTTAGCCGCCTTTCTCTATGAGTCGTTAACAAAGAACTTACCGGCATATTTAGGCCCTCAGCAGAAGGTCGTCCTAGGTGGAGGATTCAAGGATGGATTAAAAGCAGTGTGTCTAACTAGTGGTTCCGCAGTTGTTGAGCCAAATCTACGTTCGGATCATGAAGAGGCAGATACAAGACTTCTGCTTCATGCCAAACACGCTGCAGCCACTCATCCACGCATTGTGATACAATCACCAGACACTGATGTTGCCGTACTTTCAGTAGCACATTTTTCAGATTTAAACTGCCAGGAACTGTGGTTAAAAATAGGCGTCAAAGACAGACTGAGATACCTACCTGTCCATGAGATTCAGGCTTTCCTGAGGGAATCTCTTTGTAGATGTCTTCCATCGTTCCATGCACTGACTGGTTGCGACTCTACAAGTGCCTTCTCTGGAATAGGGAAGAAGAAGGCGTGGAAGGTACCGCTGACGAAAGAACAGATGCAACGTGATCTCTGTACTCTAGGACAGAATCCTGCCATACACGAGCCTGCGCAGAAGGCTGCTGAGTCTTTTATCTGCTCCCTTTACACTTCTGCAAAGAACTTTTCAAATGTAGACGACGCTAGATATTTTCTTTTTTGTCAACGAAATTTGAAAAGCGAAGACCTGCCACCGACTTCAGAATGCTTGTCTCATCATATCAAGAGGGCTAACTTCCAAGCCTTTGTTTGGAATAGAGCTTTGGTTCCACTTCAGAACATTCCCTCGCCAGACGAACATGGATGGAAGCTGGAAAATGGCAAGCTATTCCCTGTTCTGATGACAAGGAGTCCTGCCCCAGAAGGCATGACGGAGCTAACAACATGCCGCTGCACAACTTCAGAATGTAAACGTAGTTGTTCCTGTAGGAAAAGTAACCTCTCTTGTACGGAGGCCTGTTTATGTATGGCAGATGAAGGATGCTGCAATCCTCTGAATGAAGAGTTGTTGTCTGACAATGATTCTAGTGCCTCTGACACTGAGTGACATTTTTTGTTTTTTATGTCAGTCTGCAAATTACATGTACTTATCAGATCATTACCTCTCCCGATACAGATCAGAACAACGGGCCGATAAATTAAGGTTTTGACTGATGTTTTACAATTCCGATTCAACGATTCTTTAGTATGCGACAAAGATTGGTAAAGATACGAAATTTCTTAGGGGATAATTTTAAAGACCTAAGTGTTTGTAAGACAGATTATCATCAGTGGTTGTAGTTTACACGTAACGAAATTAGAACATGTTGCAAACTGGTATCTTTTTGACTTACAAAATGACATCACTTAAAAATACCTACTGCTTTCACATTGTGAAGAGCTGTTGCCAGTACCTTTCACTCGCAGTCGTCTCCCTTTGAATTTCAAAGAATGACTGACGGCAAGAAGCTTCCATACCTATAGTTCCACATGTGGTCGTTAGCTCAATAAACAGAATCCAGTCTCTGTACAGCAGAATATTAGTAAATCCGCGTTTTTTAATTTTTGTCATAAATTAACAGAAATAAACATAAAATGTTGGCAGATATGCATAGAAACAATTTTTATAGGCTATCATAGAAATGCCGGCATTCATATGCTTTCATATTTTCACAACATCTTTCATTTTTTCAAAGATTTTCACCCGTTTTGAGGTTGCTTTTATTCCAGCCTCGTTTCCATGTAAACATTGATGGAGGAGAGACCAGCACTAACATGGTCGATTTTCTGGAGTTCTACGCTTCCAAATGTATTTTTTTAAATGTAATTCAAAAATGGACGATCTCTTTGTTTCCTGATATGATAAAAGGCCTGAATACGTCCTTTACCCTAGTCTCAGCTGGATATGAAATATGTCAGGATCGTCAAAGGAGGCCGCTTTTTGATAAAAAAATAGTCATGTGACAATCACGTGACATGCTGTCGTACCATGTGAACACTTATATTTTAGGCAGGTACATGCTCATCATTTTTCTAGTAGGGTTTGGGGCACTTTAGTGGAAGAAGATGAAATTTGAGGTCAATTTCTGTTTGAGCCTCGTCTCCATGTTGAGTGCCGTGTCATTGTATAAAACCCCATTTATCTCGTCAGGGGTACCACAATTCGGGACTACATAGTTTCTTATCTTAAAGAGCAGGTATTGGTCTATCAGAATCAGCTGTCAAACCTTTTCTGTCGGATGGGTTGAACCAACTCCTTAAATAAGGCTTTTTCAGAAAATAGCTCCTTGACTATAAAGGAAAAAGGAATACAGAAGTATGATGGCAAGAAATAATTTAACAGGAGGTGGAGTACAAATGGAAACATATCAAGAACTGTTATGTTCCCCCTCTTTGGCAAGCGGATTACAACAGCAATCAATTTATCTCGCATTGGTAAATGTAATCCTCTCTCTCACTGCTATACTTGGTAACTTTCTAATCCTTGTTGCCCTTCGTAAAGAATCTTCCCTCCACCCGCCATCCAAACTTTTGTATCGTTGTCTGGCAGTAACTGATCTTTTGGTTGGTCTCGTTAGCCAGCCTCTCCATGCTATTCATTGGATATCTATAGCTACCGAACACTGGAATCTTTGTAGATACACAAGGGACGCCACCTACGTAACCATCTACGCATTTTGTGGGGTATCTTTAGGGACAATGACGGCCATAACTATTGACAGACTTCTAGCGCTGTTGTTGGGGTTGAGGTACAAACAAACTGTAACTTTGAAGCGCACAAGTATTATTTTAGCTGCCGTTTGGGTTTTATGTGGTGTCGCTGCTCTATGCTACATTTTAGATTACCGTATAACCTTATGGTATGGATATATTGGTGTTCCATCTTGTTTACTGATCTCAATGGTCTCGCACAAAAAGATATTTCGCACCCTTGTTCATCATCAGGCACAAGTTCAAGTTCATGTTCAACTACAGTCAAGTCAACCAAATTCACTGAACATTTCGCGATACAGAAAGACGGTGTATAGTGCACTATGGGTGCAGTTAGCATTAGTTGCTTGTTATGCACCAGGTACCATTCTTGAAATTCTGAACGTTCACAAGAGAATATTTTCACCACAACTCGTCGTCAGCAGAGGAATTGCAGTCACTTTTCTTTACTTTAACTCGACATTAAATCCATTTCTTTACTGCTGGAAGATTAGTGAAGTAAGACAAGCAGTAAGGCAGACAATCAGGCAAGCACTTTCCTGTCCATGGAATTAACTCTCTCTTGTGTTATAATCGAACTAATTCTTCTTAAGTTGACGTTTTCTGCCACGGCTGCTAATAAAGAGCCCTCGCCGAGAATGTTCAACAAATGAACTCATGAAGAACAGGGAATCGAAAAATCAACCATGTCCTCCAGGCATCAAACCATGTCCTTACCGGTATCAAAAATGCCAGATGATGATCATAAAAAAGACATGCACGTATAGACAAAATAAAACTTTAACTTTAATATCTCGTTTTACCTTCTTAGTAAAATAAAATATGGTTAAAGTGTCAGGTAGCAGTGAAGAAAAGCTGTTATGGTTAATCTTTTTGACAGCCGGCAAATTTCAAATTCAAAACTGTCTTCCTTAATAAAAGAAAGTGCCTTACTAAGACGCTTTACATTGGCGCCCTATAATTCTATATCATCCGGTCAGGAGACTGGACGTTTCTATACATATTTTGAAAACTAATGAACCAAGATGTTTTTTGTTTTTGTAAACGATTTGTAGGAGAGCGTTTTACATAAAACTATCCACCCCCTTTTGTTTTCCGAAATTTGATGTTAAAATCAACTAAACACAGTCGATAGAAATAGTCGATCCAGAAAGTCATCAGTCAAATTCTTGTTTACGAATTTTAATAGTGTTATCTCGTGAATTTAGACCTATAAACTTTTTTCGATCTTCATTCACTTTTAAAGTCGTTTTAAGAAACTATACCAGTGATGAATGATCGGTTATTTCTCCAGGTCTACCAGGAGAGTATTAAAACATAATTATCTGCCCTTGTAAATGACAGGTTATCTAAACAAACATATTCATTCCATATTCTATTACATAAAGAGAAATAAAACAGTTTTGACTTAGTATTGTTAAAATAATAACACTGACATAAACGATATCGTTTTATAATTTCAACTTTAATTAATGAGATAAACAGCTGGCTAGAGTCCACATGCAATTGTTTAGAAGTAAAGCCGCAGTCTAAATAAATATTTGTTGAGAAGTTTCCGGTGGAGGAACTAATTAAGATTTTAAGTGATTGTAGCATCTCTAAACTACCATCACTCGTAGGTTATTCCCGCGTTTATCGATGGGACCGTGAATTCAATATTAGAATTGTTGGACTTGAAAAAATACATTTGCTAACAATAGCAATTTAGTATCAGATAAAATCTTGGTTTCAAAACGAGGTCAAGAGCCCCGGGGCTTGTTGGTGTCGGCGACAAAGGTAGTTGTTAGTCTCATTACTTTTTCGTCTCTGTTCTCTCTTTGAGGACGCAACAAATTTCCTGGGACTTCACGGCCGTCTTCAATGCAATGTGTAGACTCAAGATGAAAGGCTAATAATGCATAGAAAACGCAGAGGGGTAGGAAATTAAGCGAGTATCGGGGGTACTCCTCCGGCTCTGGAAGTCGAACCTTTGCCTCCCAGGAGTGACTAGCATCAACCTTCTCCTAAAATTATCGCCGCTGAATCAAACATTAATGTCAAAAGAATGTGGAAACGGTCACTTAGATTAAAAGTAAAAAGCTCTTGATTGTTTAGCAGATTCTCCTTAACAACACCTTAGGAAATCTAAGAGATCAGCAGAGAGAATGTGAATATTGATGTTAGGGTATAAAGAGTTAAAAAGGGTATACACTGAGACATGATGATGTGAAATGGTAGAAATTGATAACTAAAAGGCCAGCTTATTCGAATTCGAATTTAACTGACTTACATGGTCGAGAGAACGAATTATAAGAACAACAGTGAGAAACCTTGCTTCAGTTTCAACTTTCATAGCAGTCACAAGCCACTAATTAAACTCGCTATACTACAAAAGCTAATGTTCTAGAAATATGCACATTAAAATAATCCTCCATACTGAGTTTAATTTTAGCCCAGGTCCGTAAAAGTTTCGAGTTCCGTTTCCGTTCCCGCCTAAGTTTCGAGTTATTTCCGATTCAATTGATGGCCTAAGCGCGAAACACAGGCCATAAATTCGAAGGAAAAAAGATGATTCGTAACTTACTGTACAAACTACGAAGCCATTGAATATACCAGCATTTTGCCGAAAAGTTGTCGGAAAACCCTAGAGGTATTGTGGGTAGTTTACCGGTCGCGGATACCCAGATTACCTTTCGATCTTGCCCCGTGGAATTTTGTCTTTTACGCCGACAACCTTTCTCGAAATAGATGTATCTGCTAAGTGTATGATTGGTTTGGGAAACGTTTTCTAGACACGTTGAAGGGATTCCAATTGTTGAAGAACATCGAAAGAAAAGCGAGTCAATTAGAAACC